TGTAAAAATTCGTCTGAGACTTTGTTTACGTAAGTAAATGTAACCATTCGCATATCTCATAAAAATTAAAAATTTTTTGTGGTTTAATCAACAAAGACATCATTTCTGGTCTTTACTCTGCAAAGAGTATCACTCAATTGCAGTGGTAAAAAGACGAGATAAAAAATCGCTCAGCTACGAACAGTCGTTTATCTGGGCCCTGGATTCAACGAACCTCTCCTTGCAAATACTTGATTATCATCTTGTTTATTTCTGGTTTATAAATTGTTTGAGTAATTACCATTTCCCACGTGAAATTGCCCGACGTGGTTTTGATTGCAGCCTCTTACAATTTATTACCGCAGTTTATTTTTAAATGTGATTTTCGAGAAGGTTAACAAGTTCAAAGGGTCTGAAGTGAGCAGAAAATTGTTACAAGTACCGCGTAAAAAAAGAAAACACAACTTTACTCTAACTATTCACATGGGCTTATCACTTATGTCATCTGAAAAGATGAAGCCATGGCAAAACTTGACAAGAAACGTCTGAAATGCTCGTGTCTTCTCGTCACACTAATTTACTCGTGGCAGACAGAAATAGACAGCCTTCGGATATGATTAAAGAGCACTGGAATAGAATAACTTCTCTGTTGCCATAGAAACTTTTGTTTAAAGGCGACGAATCGTGACAAAACCGCTCAATTCATTGGTCAAAAGCTTTTCAACATTGAAAAGGGAGCTAATCACTAGAGCATTTTTACCGTCACCTTATTTGCCGAGATTAACTGGATGGCCGAGCAAAGGAATGCATTTTGTATTGGGTACCTTAGAAATACGTGCTGGTAAAAATTCCTGTTTTAATTTCGAGAGAAATTCACCTCAGCTGTTCAAAAGAAACGTAATCAGACCGGAAATATCTGAAATTTGTGTGTATGGTTTGATAACAGCTTGTACACCACACGAACTGGTTCAAATTCACTCACGCTAAACTTTTCGCAAACAACTGCTACGTTTGCTCACTGAGGCAAAAGCGTCGAAAAACAAACAGTTGTACTTGTCGCCGTTGAATGACCACCGAGCAAATGTCGAACGCGCGCGAACGAAAGAATAGAGGTGGCCAGATTTTCGACGAAAACAGCAACGGAATAAAAGATGCGAAATTCCTGAGTCCGAATTCATCCACGAAAAGTCTCGATGTGTCCTCTGCTTCAGACAACGACTCCTGGGCCTCAGAAGATTCGTACCCAGACGAGCTACCCTCACCGCCAGTCCAGTGGAAATCGGAAATTCCCTGGACACCCGATCGCCGCAAAAGTTCTATAAAAAAACCTCAATTTCAACTCGACCCAATCGCGGTTCAGCTAAATGAATTCTACGAGAATCGTGTGAGAATAAGCTTGGAGCGTAAGGAAATCTGTGAAGAAATCGCTTACAATGCAGTGCACAAATGTTTCCGTAAAATCCAAATGGTGGATAGACGATTCCGTGCCAATAGCGTCGTTTCTCAGGGAATTCCGTACGATGGATTACAAGCTGAAGAAGCCATCCAGATGGACATGCTTGTTCAATTGTCCCCAGGAAGAAGTTCAGCCATGTACACCGCGTACGATGAGCGGACGGGCGGAATGCGCGTGCAGCCGAGCTCCGAAGATTATGCTGTCTGGGAGGACTGCATAACAACCAATGGCTTTTTGTCGGCTGGGAAGATCAACTCACTGCTTCGAAAGTACGTCAAGAAAGCTGTGAAGATTTTAAACTTTCACATCAAGGAGGGTCGCGCAGATAAACTGCCGAAGAATCTGAGTAGCATCTCGGTCGAGAAAGGACCTGTCATTCGATTGATCGTGAATAAAGACATATCAGTCGATATTCTACCAGCGTTTGTTATTCCCGACTCTCGCTCAGACCCGTCTCGTAGAGATTGCCCGTCTTCGTCGCACGTGGTTTGCAAACCGCACGTTCAAAACGAGATGATCTGGCGCCTGTCATTTCACGTGGCGGAGAAAAACCGCATACGAGCTCTCAGCGAGGGATGCCGTATACAGTTGTTACGAATCTTGACCGAAATTCGCGACAACGAGGATCAGCTGAAGAAGCTTTCATCGTATCACGTCAAGACATTGCTGTTCCACGAATCTGACGTTTATCCGGACTTCGACGAGTGGAGCGCGGAAAAGACGTCGCGCCGTTTCTTTGGCTTGTTAGAACGACTGAAAAAAGCCCTGAAAGAAGGAAATCTACCGCATTATTTCATGCAACCACCAGATTTTAAGCAAGTGAATTTATTCGCCGATCTCGATGGGAAAACTCTGTCGGACATGTTAGACGTTGTAGAAGACATAATGGAAAACCCAATGGGTGTTCTTAGGACTGTGGGCCGAGAGCGAAGACAGACTATGTGGCCGTGGGAATTAGGCTTATTTTTACCTGCGGGACTAACCTCCTAAAGCAGGACAGGTAAGTCTCGTTGCAACCGCCTATTTCACCTGTTTGCTGTATATAAGCGACGCTTTGATCATTGAAAATCTAATGTTTAAAATTCATTGGCAATATGTTTTCGATCTGTTGTTCTCATTTTGAGGTTTACTTTCTATTAAGTTATTCGACGCAACTTCTTTCACACGATCTTTACTCCGGGTCAATATTAATACTAATCCAGTTTTCAAAAATCTTTTGTCCTTTTCAGCAAATGCGCTAAATACTTTTGCTAAAATCGTTTAAAGGCTGACGTAGTTAAATAAGAACTCTTTGAAATATGTGTTGTTTTAGCTGCTATATGAGACTTCGGTCGACGAGTTTGTTTGCCAGTGCAATGTAATCATTGAAATATTTGCGCGGAAAAATGTGAATTTAATCTCGCTAGATCATTTGATGTAAATAAAAATATATTTTCTCCGTTTTTACCATGCTCTCAAAATATCATAGGACTTTTATAATGATAAATTTATCTCTGGTTGGAAAAAATTCATTAAAAACAGATGTTTTGCTGTCCCGCCAGATAACGGGAATCGGTGACGTTAAAAAGGAAAGAACTTGTTTTGGCCTTGCGGTAAAATTTCAAGACGGAAATCGAAATTCTATTTGAATGCCAACATTTGACATCTTTATCGTCTAAAACAACACAGATCTGCAATGGGAAATAGTTCATTTAATGTTTGACAAGTTATTTACGAGCAGTTTGCGATCGGCTTAGGTATTTTTGTCTTAGCAGAAAAGTCTTCAAACTCACGAAGCGCTGATATTTACATGTTCCTTTGTTGAGCTATAATTAACTCAAGAATTATAAAAGCCCAGAGCTCTTTTGAAGGTCAAAACCGTCGTTGCTGTGTGATATAAATAATCTGGGCGCTTAGATTGTCACTAAAACACTTTTGCTCCAGAAGAAACTCTAGGTTTTCCCAAGTAAATAATTTTAACCTTAACATGCTGTAGTTACTCAAGCCTGTCAGTAAATCAGAGAAAGTGATGCAAATTGGCAAAAATTTGTGAACATTCCAGTGCTGCGTATGAAAAAGATTAGAAATTATTCTATATTGCAGCTCCGTTCACCCGACATAACATCGCATCCTATGAGCAAATATTTCCCAGTCAATCCACTTTACAAAGAAAACAAACCAAAGAACAGGAATTAATTAAATCGAAAACCATGACATTGCTGTCAAATTCAGAATGCATGGAATGTAAATTGCTCTTCACAAACTTCACTAATGGAATTTAATGACAAATGATGTAAGGAGCTTTCATAAATTTTTATGATTTGTTACAGATCAATACATTTGCAATGTGATTGACGACAGGGTAAATAAAATCGACAATTTGAACGTCAAAACATTTTAAAGTAGGTTTCCAAACTACGTGTTATTGGCTTTAACTCGTACAGTAACGCGCGTGCAAATACCGCGTGAATGGATTCCGTCCATTAAGTTCATCTTTCAAACTAAACACCACTGTTTATTAATTTCTTTTTTTTAGAAATTCATTTTCAATGACCCTTGAAATCACAGCTGGCTGGCGAGAAACCAAATCATGACACTCATCCACCTCAAGTGAAGAGTCAAAACAGTATGTGTGAACCGGATAAACTTGATGGAAGGCACTTCAGCGAGAGCTGCAAACTTGACGAATTCAAGAAATCGTCAGAGGATCAGAAAACAATCTAGAAATACTTGACATTTGCCACAAATTTCGTGCTGAGAAGAATTCACACTCTTTTACTAAATATCATATTTCCAAGTCATGTAGAGTGTAAAATCTATTTGCGATCAAGAACGGTGTGCCTCACAAGACAGCCACAAGACACATATTTTGGCTCAACGTTTTCAAGTTTCCGCGATTTAAATCAAGTTCTGGCTTTCAGGGAAGTTTACAAAGAATGTTTGGTCTTTGTCTGTTTGCACGAGGCATATTTGAAGTTATTTTCGTCGAAAACAGTCTAGAAAAAAAAATATAAAAGAGTAAGAGATTTGATTGCTGCATCAACGCGCAATTTAACAACATGCATCTTCACTTGTTTGTTTGTTTGTTTTTTGTTTTTTCAGAGTGAATCGATATGTAAGTTCAAGAATAAGGATACTCTAGGTTTCTAATAGTACATTATTTTAATGTTTTACCATTGTTCCTATCTTGAAAATAACCAATGGAAAAATAACATAAATTCCTCATCATAACTTATTGAAAGATACAAATGTCTGCTTTTTGTGTCATCAAATCATGTCTGGTCTCTGAGGCATACACATGTTGTAGTGGACCTGTTGATTCCAGAAATCAGGTCCTTTCCATCCACACCACCCCTGTGACAAATAATAGGAACAACTAAATTACTGGGTATCAACAGCCTGGTCATGGACCCACCCCTTTCATAACTTCAAGCAATCCATGTCCAAGGCCACCTGTACAACAATATATGTAGCTTTGCCCAATTATCTCAGGCAGGGAGACCACTACAGCTTCAGCCAATTACAGTGGATCTTACATTAACAATGAAAAGGCCACACTCCCCCCTCTCCCCAATCCCCAGTAAACAGGCCAGACCACATCACAGTAATCTCCTGAGTGGGTTCTTTAATGTTCCATGTCTGACCAAATTAACTAATTAATAGAAGCAGGAGATGGGACATATGATTATTTGTCCTTATCCGAGAAGACTAGAATGTCTATCCATTTCTTGGTATTATAGAGAAAGGTAGCAAATTCTCCTCAGTTATTTTAAGACCTTGAGTGTTGGTCCAGCCAGGGCTGAAGCCCTCAACCTCCCACACAACAGTCCGGCGCTCTAACCAATTGAGCTTACCGATAGAATAGATTCATTCATCACCTCACCTTGTCTAATATAACTTTGAGATCTTCTCCACCAGTGTAATGTGGATCAAGAATTAAAAACCTGTACAGAATGGAAAGAAATATGAGAATCCACTCTTTTATAAAGGAAAATACAAGGAATACCCATGGTCCCCTTCAGTCCCCATCAAGATAGGGAAGGAATTCATGTGGAAAAACTGGGAAGCCAGTCAACAACATTTGGTGTCCTCTTGATTTTTGGAAGATTAATTATTGCCATAATCAATGCAAGGGGTAATGGTTAGATGACTGTAAAGACACAAAGATTTTTGATTCTGTTTCTCTAGCAGGTATGTTTGAGAGAAACACACTATGATATACTAATTGGAGTGGTGTATAAAAATGTAACCCTAAACCTAACCCTTGGTAGCTCCTGATAGAATGATAGATTCTCGTCTCAAATCTTTTAGTGCCTCCTACTGAAGTACAAGGAGAATTTGACTTTGTATCAAGTCACTTTAGGCTTTTTCCCCACACCCCTTCATTTCTTCAGAAAACAAACAGCATACTTCTGAGTGGTCACAGGCAAATTGCTAAGTTGACAATCTCACTAACCTTATGTCCCCTGTTTGATCATTAAAATCAACTCCTAGAATGGTGTGCGCTAAAACTCCACCTCCTGTTTGACAAAGCAAAACATAAAAAGAAAAACTCTCAAGGAGAAATTCTCAAATAAGTGTCTTAATTCTCCCATTAACCCTTCACTCCCATGAGTGACCAAGACAGAATTTCTCCTTACAATATCAAAACAATATTGAGTAGACAAGTGATGAGAACAAACAAAAACGTCAGTAAGGGGATTATTAGTTGATTCAGTACCAAATTCTCCAAAGTAATATCATAGGAACTGTATGACAGATAGTAAGGAGAGTTACTGATGACATCTGACAGCAAAAGGGTTACAACAACATACCAATCATAATAGGAGTTCCTTGAGTCTGAAAATGATGCAACAGGTCTCGTCCTTTGGTGCGCATTTCTGCTCCAGTGCTGACAAACATGATCTTCGATGTGACTCCCAAAAGATGTTCCAGACACATGCTGACTTCAAAGGAGCCTATCCACTGCCGAGAACCCACAAACTCTTTGCCTTTGTCTTGGAGATCAACAAGTGCTTGTTGAATTTCATGATGGCTCGGGACTGGCTTGGATGTGTAGCCTTGGTGAGCAAACCAGGAAGCGATGGTCTGAAGTGATCGATATGCACAACCCCACCCCTGAACAGAACAAGAATATTGTATCAGTCACTAATAATAAAAATCCTATTATTCATAAGAGGAACTTCTGCTGAAGGGACACCACTGGCACGACAAAGAGTGTTGCCCGAAAAGAGGTGTCCCTTAAATGAAGGAAACAAATTCAAAGGTTAATGGTCAGGGGTATTTGTCAGGTGCAACGAAAGTCTGTGTCCTGTGAAAGGCAGTGATCCCTGAATTCAAACATTTCCCTTCACAGTATAACTATTAGTGATTAACAAACAGAAAGGTCGTCTGAATAAAGGAAAAGTTTGCTAACTAAAGAAACTTAAGCTTGTTAAGCAAATTCTCCTTGTTTGTATTATAAAAAATGTAGAGAGAACAGTATGAAGAACATGCATACGAATGTAAGGGTTTGCGAGAATTTCCATTACATTCAGGTGTTTTCATATCCCAAAGTTTGTGGCTCATGTTTGCAGTCTTGTTATATTGGAGCCACATGAGACTGAACAAGTTTCATCATACAACTCTGTGCCTCTAAAATTTTTCAGAGGAGCAACCTACCAGCCATCAACCAAGCCCCCTCCCCCCTCCCCCCTCCCTGAAAAACTCTCATCTGGAAGTCCTGATTTAGATACATACATCATCATTGAAGTTATCCTGCATGTAATGGTGGTAGGAATATGTTCCATCAACAACTGCTACTGTGCCACAAACCCCTGAAAATCAAAAGAAAGTGATAAAAGACTTTTTCAATCAATGTACTCTGATGAAACAGTTTAAACTCCACTGTGTGACTGGGATATAATTTCTCCTTACCTTATCAATACAATATCAAGCAGACAAGTGATGAGAATAAAGAAAAATACAAATTTGGGGAGCAGAAGTTGATCCATATGAAATTCTCCAAGTTAAGATCATAAAAATTGTCTGAATGGCAGACAGTATTAAAAGTAATTTACAAATGAGATCTTGAGAGCAAAAGGGTCAATAAAAAGTAATCAATCTAACTGAGCATACCTCCTACCAATCCAGTGTGAGGATTTGTTAAGTAGATACCTGTAACAGATTGAAAAGGATTGTGTACAATGCACAAAAATGCCATTCTGGATAACAAACCCTTTAAGATACCAAGTGTTGAGAGTTCTGAATACACATCTGAGAACCCTTTTGTTGCCCCCCTCCCCCCCCCCACCGATTCCTCTACTGAAGGTTACTAATGACTTGTGTCCCCCATCTAAACTTCTGCTACACACGCTAACTTTAATTGTTACTAACAGTACTGAAACAGCATTTTTAGATATTAATTGGTTGAATATTTCTTCAACCCCAAAAGGCCCTTAAATATGACTAACCTGGTTTACAAAGAAAAAAGGCTGATAGTTTCGAAAGAAACTGTTTGGGGCTGCGTTGGTGGGGGTAACGAAATAATTTGGATATATCAACAAAGTTGAAATGGTAAATTGGCCACCGTAACAATTACAAAAGCTGACGTTTCGAGCGTTAGCCCTTTGTCGGAGTGAACAGAGGAACTGTGGGTTGTGTGCTTTTAAAGGCAGAAAATGGAGCTACGTTATTGGTGGGAACATGGCAACAAGAAAAACAAGAATAAATTAGTGGAATGAAAAGCGTTCGTTGATCCCTGGTTTACAAAGCACGTGAGAAATAGAAGCATGCCCCTTCCCTGATTCTGAGGCTGTTTATTCTCAGGTTGACTTTCCCAGGCCTCCCCTCCCCCACCACTCTGAGACATTTTTTTCAAGTTTCCATTATTTGCTTTAGAAGCATTTTCTAAGGTGTTCAATACTAAAAACATCCACTACAAAGTAATCACGTAGAGTAAAAATCTTCAAGGAATTGGTCTCCATAACTGTTCCTTTCAGCAGATACTAAGTTGTGTTATCCACTTCTTACTTATAAGAAAGAAACCAAAAAAAATTCATGTAAAAAAACTTTGGAAGTCCAATCATTCTATCTACTAATAAATAACTCATTCATGCAACCACTTCTGGTAGTAATGAGAAACCTGCAAACCTTGCTGCCCGTCGTTCTCAAACTGGTATCTATTGGAGGGTCTCATAAGAGGTCTGTTTTCTGGTAGAAGAAGTCTTTTGTGAAGTTTCAACCTGTATGATGCTGCCAGAAAATAAAAATGTCATATTACAACAACAAAAAAAGTATAACCTTTCAACTACCTTATAATGAAAATTCTAAAAGGTTAAAAGATTTGAACAATGTGATCATGATGTGGATTTCTTCAATGAATGCCCATTTTGGTACTTGGTGTTGCTGATTTTGAAAGTGCCGCGTTGTTAAAATAATTTCAAACTAGGTTGATTTAACTTTTACTTTTTTAATGAAAAACATGAATTAGACTAGTTTTAAGTCATAGTGACCTTGACTCATCTATAACTACCAAATAAATAAATGTACTGACCAAGTTTATCATCTTCTATTGGTTCACCATCTCCTTTAATGCTGGGATAAACAGCGGTCACCAAATGACAAAACCCAGGAAGCTTGAAGTGGTGTGCCTTAACGAGAGCTAACGAGCTTCCCTGGAATAAGAAAGATCAGGAATGATTGCAAACTTTGTCTCAACTTACCATTCTTCAGTTACTCTCTGTTACCTTATCACAGGATTGGACAGTTTTTGTAATTACAACTCCAGCTTCAATGCTTTCACTTCAAAGATCTACATAGAAATTCTCTCATGATACTATCTCCCACACATCTCTGATAATTTCAGTTCTGAGAATTTGTTTTTGAATCATACAATTCATAGAATTCAGTTCTGAGAATTTGTTTTTGAATCATACTGCTTAGCAGTCTGGTAAAGTCCCCTGCACAGTGTTGTAAAGCACCATGAGCTAAGGATATAAGTGCTATATAAATAAAAGTTATTATTATTATATTATTATTATTATTATTAATATCCCCTGGTTGACATTTTCCCATATTCTCATCACCTTCCTGCTTAAAATTGTACTAATATTGTAAGGAGAAATTACATTTTGGTCACTCCTGAAAGGGTTAAAGGAAGATGGAAAACATTTATCACAAGTGAATGACAAAGGAAAATCTTTTGTTCCAAAAAAATTGAGATTTAATGCAGAAATACATGACTGAGGTAATTCCAATTGGTAGAAAGTTTCAGTAACCATACCTTGGAAAACTGTGCCATAACTGAGGCCATCTTTCTAAGCTGACTGCACAGGGCAGAAATAAATAACTTCGGCAGACTCTTCAATGGAGTGTCTCTTGATAAATTTAACACCACATCAAGTGCCAAGTTGCAAATTGTTTTAGACTTTGCCTCTACAAATAATAAAGTAAAACAGCTGGGGAAACTTTTCTCACAGCCTAGGTTATAATTTTGAATACTAGACAGTGACATAATGATAATCATTTGCCAGATTAAATCCCTTAAATATGGGGGCTTGATTACTATGTATTTGTGAAAGTGTAGTGTGATTGTGTGGGTGAGTGTAGTCCTGAGAAGGACTGTTGTCAATGGTGGTGACTGATGTTTTGACAGCCTGTGCGGAAGTCATCATCAGAGTCAAGTGAATAGTTGTTGTCAGTAGAATGTTCTTAGTCCAGTTCGTGTAAAATGATTGGTCAGTTTTGCCATGGTGTTATTGGCTGTAAGACTCACAAGTGGCATAAGTCGGTTATGATTGGTCTGTTTTGATCTGTCCGTAAAGTTAGGCTGTTCTGTCTGGTTCGTTTGTAATGTTAATGTCATGAATGAGTCAATTACTATATACTTGTTGAGTGAGTGAAAAGGGCTGTAGGGGAACATTTAGCTGAAGTTCAGAACAGAGCATGAGGTGTCACCTTTCCTGTATTGGATAACTGGTACAAATGCTTCCTCATCCTTGTTATTGTCTGTCAGCTGATATAAGTATCGTACATCCAATACATCCTAGGATAGAGAGAAGGATACCATTGTGAATAGAAGACCAGTGCCACATGACAACATCTATTTCTAGACTGGCCTGGCCTGTATATTAAAGCAAAAGCAAAGCCTCAAACCTTAAGTTTCAGTGAACCAGAAGAGGAAACCGACTTGGCACTTTTCTGTTTTCCTTTACTCTTGCCTGATCCATGCATGCTTTGCAGTTTTTCTTGTCCTAATTCAATCCTTGCCAGAAGTGATTCACAGCTTTCTGATTCATCGCTTCCATGATCCACATTTTTAAGCAACAGTTTACAGTCTTTTATGTGGAAGGCAGTTGACGTGGAATCTAACTCTTTGCAAGTCTTTTCAATATTGTTTGTAATTTCTGATGTATCTGTTGGAAAAAAAAGAACTAGATTGTCACATATCTTTCAAATATCCTGATAACTTTGTTTCTGTTTTTATCTTGCGTAGGGTTAGGATTTTTCAACTGTTCAGTTGTTCATATATCAGGACATTTTAAGTTTGCATGTACTCCATTCTCTATTTCAGAAGTTCTATGTTAAATTTAATTTAATCGAGTTTGCTTGATTTAGAGTTCTGTTCACTATGATGGGAACAATCATGGTAAGTAATGACAGAGCTTGAAATGATGGGCCCATCAACAGATAAAGCCCAGTCAAATGTGGGTTTTGTTTGATTACCTGTAAATTCCTTTTTATATTTCTTCCAGTTGTTTACATCCTCGAAGACCCAGGGGCTGAGTCGATTTCAAGTTAGGGCATGAAGAGCCCCTGGGGACATTGTCTTACAAGACTAGTTGCAAACGGTCGCAGTCGTTCTGCCATCTGATTGGTGCCAGAAAATCTTTGTGTTTTTCTGCCCTATCAGAGTGAAGTGTACTTTAGAAACCCTTCGTGTGTTTTAACACAGACATATATGCAAGTAGCTCAGTTGCTCGCTATGATTGTTTGGACCGTGCGACGGAGATTTGCTTGAGGTGAAAAGTTTCAGTCTCAGCACACAATGTAAGAGAGATCGATCAGATTGTCCGCGAAAATTTTACCGGAAATTATACTGAATACTTTCGCAGGTATCACG